ACTTTGAATTGTGCTTGGAAACAAATTTTGCAGCCAGCGGAACAGTTGCAACAAGAGTGTAATGCGATCCGGTTACCAATCTAGCAGCAGCACTTCGGACTGTCTTTCCAAAGTCAACCCTATGTAGAGCACATTACAGTAACTCAAACAAGGTGTAACTAAGGCATTTGTCAACATGGTCAAATTGGACATCTTTAGGAGTGGACACAACTGCAGCAGTTGTTTTAACTGTGCAAATGCATTCCTTGCCACAGCTAAGATCTGAGCATCCGGGCTCAGGGACAAATCCAGGAGCACACTTAAGATGCAAACCTGTGTTTTCAGGGAGACTGTAACCTCACCTGGCAGAGGCTGAAACCTTATTCCCTAATCTGCCTTTCAACTGATCAAGAATACTTTGCTAGATTAAGTTTCAGTTTGTTCACCCTCATCTAGTCCACTATTGACACCAGACACCAGTAACATGATTAGAAAATGATGAATCAAACATTTTCATATTAATTTTGTTATACATTGTTTTTCTGTTTTTAAACTGTTTTGTAAGACCATGGAAGAAGGCGGTCCTTTAGGTAACCGTTTTTAAACTGTTTTGTAAGATCCCTTTAGTCCCAATTCTGAGACAAATATAGCATATAAGTAAGATAAAATAAAATGTATTAGTTCTCTGAAGTATCTTGGAAAGAAGGGTGTGATACAAGGTGCTGGTGCTGTTTAACTTAATTTTTGTAATTATTTAGTGGCTTTTAAAAGGCTCATTTTCATTTTACGAGAAGGATTATCCTAGACAGATATGGACTCATTTCCAACATTATTCTTGCTTGACATTTGTTGAGTTGTAGATCGTTTTTAAAAGAGGTTCTCAGCTGCTGAAAAATAAAGATGTTTTGTGAATATGTCTCCTGTCACTATTTCTAATAGTCATTTTAGCAGTTGCTATAACGTTGTATTGTTAAGGTAGGGATTTGGGATGTGCTTCATTTGTACATAGTCCTCCTGTTTTAATAGAACCCTTAGGACGGGGTGGGCAGTTGCGAGCTTTGAGATATTTTCAACTTACAATGCCCCAAAAGCCCATCCAGGACCCCAAGTGCTGGAAAGTCAAGGGATCTACAGTTCATCAATATCTGGTGGGCCAAATGTTTGCCACACCTACCTTAGCCATACCCTCATCCATTGCCCTTAAGAGCAGGTCAAGGTTGAATGCATTCTAATATAACTGTGCTTTGCCGAGACAATGTTTGAACAAACAAGCAGGAGCTGATGGACCACTGGAGAAGGAAAGATGGGCTGATCTCACATGCTGGGGAATATGCCTCTGAGATTTTCAAAATCAATTCCTTTAAGCCTTTTAGAAAACATCATATGAGCTTGAGAGCGTCAGTTTATGTTTCTGGCCACTGGCGGATGATAGCCCAATATATTAAAAAAAATTATTTCCTTGTTTTCCATCAGTAGCTGTCTGAGTGTATTTCACTTTAACAGAGATCAATGGTGCACACCGCACAGCAATTAAACCCATTTCTCTGTGCCAGCGCCATAACATATGAAGGTTCAACTGCTTGCCAGTAGGCCACCCTGAAGATTTGACATGTGTCAGGCAAAAAGTGACAGAGAAGTACTTGTGAGGAAGGAGGAGTGGGGGTAAAGAGGCACAGCAGAGAAATTTCCTCTGAAAGACTTTGTTGTTTCTAAGATGTTGTTATAAGAGCTTTGGAATGATGGAGCACTGTTGTTTCTTTAAGCTTGTCATTGCTTTCATCATGGAGTAATCGTTCAAAACAAACCCCAAGTGAAAACCAGGATTCGCAATGAAAATTTAAGCATGTTTACTCAGAAGTAAATCTGGTTGAGTCCATTGGGGGTGATCTACCTAGTAAGTGTAATTAGAATTTCAGCTTTAATTCGACACAATTTCTGTCCAGTTTTGTTACTGGAGATTATGTTTTCCTGGTGAGCAGCCAGGCAGTATCTCTAATTCGCCTTCACGAATATATCTTTAATTTAGTTTGGCATACAATTCTTGTTGATGTGTTCTGCGTTGCTCAGTGGCTTCATTATTTCCCTAATGTTTTGTCTCGTAGTGAATTTGCTGCTATTTCTTTTCCTCATCTGAACAGATGCAGACCTTGTATGCTTTTGATGAAGAAGAAACGGAAATGAGGAATAAAATAGTGGAAGACTTAAAAACAGCTCTGCGGACTCAGCCTATGAGGTAATTGTTGTTGTCATGTTCTGTCAAGTCATTTACAAGTTATGGTGACCCTATGAATTAATGACCAAGTCTAATCTTGAGACTACCAACGCATGAACCAGCATGATGAGGGAGCCGGTGCCAAGGTAGGGATGCAGCTGGGCAATCTGCTTTCGATGGAAATAAACGGATCAGACCACAGATGCTACATGTGATGCCATTGATAGTGCTGGGTCTACGCCCAATCTAAGCACCTCATCCTTTATGGAAAGAGCGCCCCCCCAAAAAAGACAGGGAGGTACCCAGACCACAGATGGTTCTGCAGAATTTTTTTTTCTTCTTAATGGACAGCTGTAATCCTACTTTCACCCTATCCTCCTTCAGGTACATCAGTAGCCATTTGAAGTCATTGTTGTTTTCTACTGGTAGTATAGTTTCTTTTATGTATCTTAACACACTTCGGTGTTAAGTTATTTGGTCACCAGTGTGTATTTGCAAGTGCTTCCACCTTTTCTTGTCTGCTTGACCACCTGGTATTTCTCACTGCCTGGAGACTGTACTGCAATGGATGCAGCCAAATGGTTTGAGACTGAACCCAGACAAGATGGAGATCTTGAGGGTGGGTGGCCCTTCCATTAGCAATATAGGTGACTCCCTCTCTTTTGGGGGGACAACCCTTGCCGCAAAGAGTGAGGTCCGCAGCTTGGGGATACATCTGGACCCAGCGCTTACCATGGAAACCCAGGTGGTGTCCATGGTCTGTTCCACCTTCTTTCATCTATGGCGGATTGCTCAGCTGCGAGCATATCTTGATGAGGGGCCCTCACTACTCTAGTCCACGCGCTCATAATCTCGAGATTAGACCATTGTAATACACTCTACGTGGGGCTGCCTTTAAGGTTGACGCGGAAACTTCAAGGGGTCCAGAATGCGGCAGCCAAGCTTCTAAGTGGGGTGAGAAAATATCAGCATATCTCCCCCACTCTGGCTGCCTTGCACTGGTCGTCTATCCGTTTCCGCGTTGACTTTAAAGTGTTAATGATTGCATACAAAGCCCTAAACGGTTTGGGACCTCAATATTTGGCAGATCATCTTCTTCCACCTAGATCTACCCGAATCACCCGACAGAGCCAGCAGGGATGGCTGAGGGGCCTGATGCCGAGGGAGGCCCGGAAGGAAAAAACAAGAAACCAGGCCTTCTCGGCGGTGGCCCCTCGGTTGTGGAACACCCTCCCAACCGAAATTCAGCTGGCATGCTTGCTGGGTGTTTTCAAAAGCCAGTTAAAAACTTGGCTATTCAAGCAGGCCTTCCCTCCAGTCAATTAAGTGATTTCTCTCTCTCTCTTTCTCTCTCTCTATATATTTTCTTTTCTCTTTGAGTCATGCCATCTTGGTAATGTGTTGTTTGGAACTAATTGTTATAACGGTATTTCGAATGATTTTATACATGTAATACTGTTGTGTTTTTATCCATGTAAGCCGCCCCGAGTAGACTAAATAAATAAATAAATAAATAAATAAATAAATAAATAAATAAAGTATATAATAAAAGTAATAAAGTAATATAATAAATTCCCCTGCATCCAGGGGAAAGTGATGAAAATGTCTCTTAGCTGCTATGGTCTTTGGCATCTCTTTTCTTTTGGATTGTAATGTTTATTACATTTTCCCAATATGTTTTATTTTCCATATTCATTCACATATTCTTGCTGGATAAAATTAGGAACAAGGAAGCAATGTGTGCTTCCTTGAGCGCATTAGAGTCAGTATAATGTAAGTAACTACACACACACACACACACACACACACAGAGAGAGAGAGAGAGAGAGAGAGAGAGAGAGAGAGAGAGAGAGTATTGTATCTCTGAGTATGCACCATTCCAGTTTGAATGATTTATTGAAAAAACACACTTGAAGGTAATTGTTTTCTTGGTGTTGGCCATGTTTTCCTTCCTGGATGGATTTTGTGGGTAATCTCATACAACCGGGGTCACACAGTGTGTAGACACACACACACGCACACACACACACACACACACACACACACACACACACACACACACACACACACACACACACACACACACACACACACACACACACACACACACACACAAAATTAATCAGTTTATATTGTTCTCTGCTGTTGCTGTATAGTCTGAGATTAAAAATGCCTGCCAGTTGCAGGCTTGATTCGCTTGGGTCATTGTAGTCAGCATGTGGCCACAGTCTTGCATCACCCTGTCGAAGTCCCTTTCTTATGCAACAGGCTCTCCTTATGAAGCCTGCGGGAGTGGAGTATGGGAAATCTCCACTGAACGGGAGGTTTTTCAAAACAAGCCTTGCATTACTTTGGCTAGATACTCCTTACAGCAGGCATTTATTTCCTCTGTTTATAACAGCCGTAATGAGTGTCAGCACCAGCATCCACAACCTGTCACATAAAGTCTTTGCTCTTAAATCGCTGGCATCAGCCCTAAGGACTTTTTTTTCTTCTCCTTTCCTACCATCAAGCCAGATTTTGAGTTAAGTCCCCATGTCTCAACTAATTTCCAGTGACTCAATTTGGAAGTTGCTAAGTAGGCCAAACGCCAATGCCTGATGAGTGAGCCAATTCCTTCTTTAATTTAAAGGCCGGAGCCAGGGAGGCCGTGGCGATCTTGAATCCTTTTCGTGAGCAGCTGTCTAAAAGAGGTCTTCAAAAAATCTCATCTGAAGGAGAAAGCACATTGTGTCGTGTCCATCCATTCCTAAACAATAATGCCGGTTTAGAAGCCTTTAAGTTCACCTAGCAGACAGGAGGCTCATGTTCAATTAATGTCTGTTCTAAACTGGATATATTTACAGCTGTAAAGAGTGGTCCGGTGGTTCAGATGGGCGGGGTATAAATCAAATAAATAAATAAATAAAATAAGCTGTGTACAGTGTGTTCACCTATAAATCCTTGAAAAATAATGGCCAATTATTATTCATTGCCAATAACTGTGCAGAGTTTATGTGTCTTGCTGACTTGATTATGGTTGGGGCTGTGCATACTCTGCCAAAAGTGGGGAAGGGAGAGAGACAGACTTTGCACGGCGAAAACCTAAATGGTGGGCTTTGAATAATCACAGCGGATCAAACACATGTGCAAATTCAAACCACCTCTCAGGATCATATTTTTCAATATCACCACTCAGTTCATTTGGGGCTTGTTCATTCATTATTTCGGAAAGAATGTCTCAACTGTGGTGGATTTTGGACATGAATTCAGGTGAAAGAAATTGCCGACTTCAGTTTAATGTTGGCAATGTAATATGGGTAGCACTTTTTGTGTCAGACAATGTGGGCTTGTGTAGTGGCTGGATGTACTGCAGTATATTCATTTTGATTTAGAAACATCATTGGCATTTCTATATGCTTATGTATTTTTAAAGTATATTTCTGTGACTTGAAACTTAACTGGTGAGGAATTTGCCCGTATCCTGGGTGCATATGCTGGGCAAAATCCTATTGCATAAATTTGCTCCAGTATAAACCAAATAGGGATACTGGGAATAGTTAATTTTCATTAACTGAAAGCTTCCTATTCTTTCAGCTACCTAGGCCTCCCTATCACCCTGGGCAAGCTTTTGGGAGCTTCAGAATGAGAGGTGTTGCTTTTAATAGTAATAAAATAAAATAAATAAATCATCAAGCATGATCCAGTGATCATTTTTTACTAATAAAATCTCTGTGTCCCGAATCCTAAAGACTTCCCTAGGGCAAAAGGGAGCTCTAGGAAACTTCAGATACTGGAATGGGTTGGGAGGATAAGAAGCTTTACATTTATTTATATTCATTATTTCTAGCTTCCCAATGCTGCTTACACTGGTGGAAAAGTGCCAACAGGAGTTTGCCTGCTCTATCTAAAATACTCATAGTTGAGAGGGGAAGATAAATACTCTCCATCCTTGATTTTGACTGTCAAAAGATTTTGCTCACGTGCAAACACCTACTCTGCCAATGGCAACTGCTATCAGATTTTTTAAAAAATGGACATATAATTAACTTAAACTGTATCCTTCACCCATAATCATATCCTGTGGATTTCTCTCTATCCACTCCAGTTTCCTTCCTTCCTTCCTTCCTCCTCCCTTCCCTTACAAATTTATAATTTTCTAAATATAATTGAACAAACACATGCCTTCTCTCTATCCACTCCAGTTTCCTTCCTTATAATTGAACAAACACATGCAGGTGACGTGCTCAGTGAAAAGACACATGCTCACCTTGATCGCCCTGCTCCTTCCCTTGTACTTTCTGGAGACAAACTGTGATTATGGAGTGTGTTTGAGATGCACCAAGATTCAAACTCTTGTTACATTTTCTTTATGTTAAAAAAAGGCAAGATGAAAGATCAAGGCTTGTATTATGTGGAGGTGTCTTGGCCTTAGGAATGGACCTCAACAGATGGGAAACCCTGACATCTGAGCGTTCAGCCTGGAGGCAGGCATTGCATCACGGCCTCTCCCAATTTGAAGAGACCCTTGCCCAGCAGGCTGAGGCAAAGAGGAAGTCACCAAAGCAGCAAAACCAGGGAGCTGGACAGGGGACAGATTGGATTTGTCTTCAGTGTGGAAGAGACTGTCACTCTCGAATCAGCCTCCTCAGCCACACTAGACGCTGTTCCAAGACCTCCATACAGAGGACGGTACCATAGTCTTCGAGACTGAAGGATGCCTAACTAACTAACTAACTTTCTGAAAAACAACTGTATGTGTCCCTCAATGAACAGCAGCCTGATCCGACAAAGTAATCTCTTATAGGATGCACTTTATCTGGAAGCGCACTTCAATTTGACAGAGTTCAGTAGTAACAGCTGGCCCAGTGCTTAGGGACAAACCCACAATAAAATGAAGGAAACGATTGGAAGGAAGTGAAATTTTCCTTACAAGTTCTAACCATAAACAGTGGTGACTGTAAAAAATACTGGGCTGGAAACATATGGGAAAGTTGTACTGCTGTTCCTGGTAGTCATCAGTAGATCTTGGAAAAGCAGAG